CACCAGATCTCAGGTCCAACAGTCCTCGTGTCCCAGAAACGGTTCCTCACGGTATTGAATGATCCTTCATGATGAGAGCTATTTGTGTCCTCAGATCCAAGATGGCGCCGATGATGGCTGCCACGGTGCGCTTCATTTTTTGTTGTTTTTGTTGTTAATTATGTTTCTTGCTTACCCTTTTATTCCCCCCGTGAGTTCGCTTCATTCATCCTGGTCGGTGTTTACATGCCGCCGCCGGGCAACGTGCACGAGGCACAGCGGACACTCGCCGACCAGATACGGCGTGTGGAGCGGACCAACCCGGACTCTAGTTATTGTCCTCGGGGACTTTAACAAAGGAAATCTCACCCATGAACTCCTTAAATACACAGTTTATTAAATGCCCACCAGAGAGGAGAACACGCTGGATCACTGCTACACCACAGTAAGCAGGGCTTATCACGCCGTCCCTCGTGCTGCACTGGGACACTCTGACCACGTCATGGTCCATCTGATTCCTGCATACAGGCAGAAACTAAAGCTCTGCAAACCTGTGGTGAGGGAATTCAAGAAGTGGACCAGTGAGGCGCTGGAGGATCTTCGGGCGTCCTTTGACTGCACAGACTGGGATGTTTTCAGCTACTGACAGTCTGGATGAGTTCACAGAGGCTGTAACTTCCTACATCGGCTTCTGTGAGGACAGCTGTGTACCATCATGCACCAGGGTGAGTTACAACAACGAGAAACCCTGGTTCACAGCGGAACTCAGAACACTACGCCTGCAGAAGGATCAGGCATTTAGGAGCGGGGACAAAGACTTGTACACAGAGGCAAAACACAAGTTTAGCAAGGCGGTGAGAGATGCTAAACGACTGTACTCGGAGAAACTCCAACAACAGTTCTCAGCAAGTGACTCTGCTTCGGTTTGGAGAGGCCTCAAACACCTCACCAACTACAAGCCAAAAATCCCCACTCCATGAATGACCTCCGCCTGGCAGACGAGCTGAATGAGTTCTACTGCAGATTTGAAAGACAATGTCCTGATCCCATCCCCCACAGCTCCACCAACCTGCCCCAGTCCCCCTCCCTCCCTTCCCAAGGCTATTAGGGGCTCCCGCCTTTGATCTTATCACCTTCCCCTCC